GGCCGTGGGTGAGGCATCACCTCAGGAGGTCACTGAGAGCACCAGCCCAGCCAGGCCCCCAAACTCCCTCCACTGAACAGCTCAGAGCTGGGCTCACCTGGGATTGCAGGGAAAGGGCAGCACAGCCCTGCTAAAACAGAGGATTTTGGGCAATGAGGCAAGTGCCTCATTTTAAGACACGACTGAGAATAACCTGCTTCTGTTTCAGCGTCTGTGTCATATGGGAGCTGAGATTTGAGGCATCATGCTGAAACTGGATTGAAAGGAGGCTGGGATTTTCTGTGCTGGCTTGTGCTGCCTGGGGGGCTCTGGGACTGGTGCCTGTCTCTGGCTGTCACAGTGGCTGTGACACCTTTATTTCCATCTCTATCTCTTCCCAACATGGCCAAAGGGAGGCACGTGGCTGCTCTTCTGCTGCTTGCAGATGCCCAGATCTGTTGGAGGGTCAGGAAGGGGGGCAGCTGGTGGCACCAGTGTCACAGAGCTGCCCCATGTCACCCCCAGCCATGCCCTCATCCTGCCTGGGCTGAGGACAGAGCCAGGAGAGGGTGACATGGGGGCAGTCAGCCCTGCTGGAGCAGCCCTTGGTTGTCCCACCAGGGCCACCTGCAGAGCGCTGCTCCCAGGCAGCCACTTGAGAGGGAGAGGAGCAGCTCGTTCCCTGCTAGCGTATCCTGACAGGTCCATCCATCATCTCTTGAGCTCTGCCAGCTTATTAGCAGATGTTGTCCTGTCCCCAGAGGATGGAGAGGGAGTGAAACAAATGGATCAGACTCCAGATGGCTGGCAGATCCCTCCACGTTCCCTCTTCCTGAGACAAACCTGCTGCTCCGGGGTCTTTTGGGCAGGAGAGACGTGAGAGCGGGGCTGGTGAGCAAACCAGGCAAGGTGTGTGGTGCAGGGTTGGGGGATCAGTGAAGCCCCACGGGATGGACCCAGACGGGTCTGGGGTGATCACTGGGACTCACCTGTGTGATCCAGGGCCAGAGAGGAGCTCTGCCACGCACAGGTTCAGCGCTGGGTTTTGTAGGCTCTGCTACCAGGATCACCCAGGGGTTTGGGCTGCAGGGAAAGTGTAGGAGAGCAGGATTTGAGCTGAGTGACAGGTGAAGGGCTGTTCCTGTCCCATGTGCACTGCAAAACCACCCTGGGAGTGAGACCAAGCTGCAGGGACAGGCAGCCAGGGCTGGCTGTACAGGGGGTGGCACTGGGGACACAGCAGCGCTTCTGGTGGCTCACAGACAGGCAGGACCCGAGATCCTCACACTCAGAGCAAGTTACATAAAATTATGGGAATAAAAGAAACCCTCACCTTCCCCAGAGCTGCAGGGAGCACAGCAATCACTCTGCAGCTCCCTGCTGGGTGGCTGCAGATTTGGGAGGCTTCACAACCAGTGTGCTCCAGACCTGGTGAATTTGATTGAATTTTTCCTGCTGGTCAATTCTCTGCTGTTTGCTCTTCCCAGAGCTAACCAGGGAGGTTCTGGTATCTCATACCTGTGCCTGTGCCCTGCTTCCCTCTGTGAAAAACAGAGTAACTCTTCAGGATTTCTGAAAAGTTTAATAGGGAATAAAATAAGAGTATAAATAGAGAATAAAATAAAAGTCCAGTGCTGGGGTGCTCCTGGTAAACAGCCAAAGAACACACCTAGATTTGAAATGGTTTTCTTTATACTGTATCATCCCTGAGGCTCATGCATATTCATATGTTTTATTAGCCAAACTTCCTTGGGAACTCTTGATATTCCAGGTTCTCTTCTTTTTTAATTTGTTTTTTAATTTAATTTAATCTTTTTTAATAGATTTATAACCTGACCTGCCTGCAGGATACTCTATAGATAAGGTCTTCCCATGTTCCTGTCCTGTTACTTCACACTCCAGATGATTGTGTGTCAGTTCAAAATGTAAGGGAAATTAGTGGTTTTGCACCATTCTTTAAGTTGGTTATATAGAGGTATTTTTAGTCTCTAACAGTTTGCTAATGCCTATGACACAATGAATATAATATAATATAATATAACATAACATAACATAATATAATATAGTATAATATAATATAATATAACATAACATAACATAATATAATATAGTATAATATAATATAATATAACATAACATAACATAATATAATATAATATAATATATAATCTATTGTCTATTGTCTATTATCTATATTATATTATATTACATTATATTACATTATATTACAGTATATTATACATTATTTTCATATAAACTATATATACATAAACTGACAGGTTATACTATACAAAAGCAGTTAAAAGTAAGCATAACTTGTACTATATCAAAATACTCATGACACAAAAAGTTAATCTATAAATGCAAAAGATTATATGATATGATATGATATGATATGATATGATATGATATGAAATGATATGATATGATATGAAATTATATTATATGATACAATATTATATTATATTATATGATACGATATTATATTATATTATATTATATTATATTATATTATATTATATTATATTATATTATATTATCATCTCTAAGAGCTCCAAAGCAGGCACTGAGACACTCAGAGGTGCCTGAGCAGTGCCCCAGGTGCTCCCCAGCCCTCCCTGCATGCTCCTGCTCTCCAAGTGCCTGGAGCTGGCTCTCAATGGCTCTGCCCTGGTGCACAAATTCACCTGTAATTTGTCATTTAGTATAATTTTCCCCCTGTGTGCACCTAAAATAATTGTGACTCGTTGCTACAGGTAATTAATGGGGTTTTTTTGCAGCATTAAATGCTAAGTGATTACAATTGCTCCGTGCAAATCTGCTGTGCTTCGTGTTCCCATCCTTCCTGCTGCCTGTCTCTCCGTACCTGATTTCTCTGCCCTTAATTAAATAGTGGTGAGGGGAACCACTCCAGTGCCTCTGGAATCACAAATCCCTCTTTCCTGCATGGCTAGAGATGGTTGGTGGTGGTTTGCAGGTCCAAGGGACATTTTCACAAGTTAAAGGCAGCAGTTCCTGACCTTCACCTGCCCAGCACCGACTGGGGCTGTCCCATCCGTGCTCATGCAGTGTCTCCACCCTTTCCCTAACAGAAAAAACAGGAAATTCTATTTCTTCTGATTTATTTTGGAGTTTGGTTGGGGTTTTTGTCCCCTACCTGAGAACAGGGTGTATCTGTGATCATCTCAGTCTTACACCCAAAACCAACGGGCTGCAGACTGGAGGGTGCTGCATCAGGGCCACTTGGGAAGGGCAGAGTCCCTGAATCTCTTGGTATCATCAGGACCTGCCAGCACCAGAGCCTGCCAAATGTCTTGGTGCAGCTGGAAAAAACAGCAAACCTCTCCTGAAATCTGCAGCCCCTGAGTCCTCTCCTCACCTGATGCCCTTGAGGAAGTGAAAGGTGCCAGAAGAGCTGGGGAACAAAACCAGCTGCAATTTCACATCTGCCTTCCCTCGCACCCCAAACTTTGAGCATTTCTGCTCCTTGCCCTGATGCCCTTTGGGGAGTGGAGGAGAAGAAATTTAGGAGCAAAGTCTGGAACTGCTGGCCTTTGCTGTACCAAGATGTGACAGCAGCCTGTGACACCGCCTCTGGCACGGGCAGCACGTGTCCATCCTGCCAGTGGTGTCACTCCCCTGCTGTTAACAGAGCATTTGGTGCAAAAGTGCCACAGAAACTGGTGCCAGAGCCTGGAGAGGGACCAGCAGGTGCTCCCCACACCAGGGATGTGTGACTGGAGCACTGCCTTCAGCTGCCACTGCCAGAGTAGCTCAGTTCTAAAAAGGCCCTTGTGTGGTGTGTGATAGGTGGGATGTGCTGGTAGCATCAGTCCAGGGAGATCCCTGGCAGGGAAAGGAGGGTTGTTAATAAGAAAGGAAATCTGCACCTTGAAACAGAACAAACATCAAGGAGGGACCCAACCCACTGAGGATGCTGGATCACAAAAAAATCCCTTTTACATGCCTGAAAGCAAAGATTGAGGCTGTATGCAGATCTGGCCACTGGAGGTAAAGATGAGAAAAAGAAGGTATTACTACCTCAGTGGGAAAAAGCAGAGATGAGTCAGAGTCAGGAATAATCTTTGAATCACTGGAGCTGGTCCTAAAAGTACCTCATGAGTGCAGGGACCCAGACAGAGCCTTTCTCTCATTTGGAATCTGAGCCTGCAGGAGAGGGCAGATCCTTCCACCCCCAGACAGATACCTGACATGCCACATGTCACTCTTGAACAAATCGATTTCTTAACGAGAGACGAGATGTTTGTTTGTGTGACAAACGATGTGCCCGAGGGGCTGCTGGGAGAAGGGGGTAGGATGAAGCAGAGCGATGCCAGACCTGCTGTGGGATGAGCTCCTGCATCAGGAGGAGGCAGAGGAACTGCAGGCAGGTTGTGTTGTCAGAAAAAAAAAAAACCTTTTTTTCCAAAAGAGGCTCTTTCCTTATAGTTCTGTGCAAGGGAACTTGTTGCTCTGTGTGGCAGCTCCCCAGGGTCTTGCAGAGGGATATGCCCCATGTCCCAGATGTGGAGATTTAATTTCTGAAACCTCCCACACAGACACTTTTGGGAACCTGGGCACAGCCAGTGTTTGTGGCAGCCACCATGAGGTGAGGTCTGTGCTGTGAATTTCCCCCATGAACATTATTTTGGAATAGCTGCCAATAGATTTCCAGTGCTGCATGCTTTGATCCCTGCAGTGCTGTCTGCCCCGAGGGCTGGGCAGCAGGCACAGGTGCAGGAACACCTGGAGCTTTGCAGGCAGCAGAGGCACCCACGTTTGCCTGTGAAGCAGTTGGGTGTCAGGCTGGCAGGAAGGGCAGCTGGGGGAGCAGAAGTTTCCACAGAGCCCCGTTTCCAGACGAGCAGCTGGAGAGGACTCAGCCAGGTGCAGGGGAGAGAGGCAGGTTTCCCGTGCCCTGCGTGAGAACGCAGCTGAGCTTTGTGCTGGTGGGATGCTCTGAGCTGTGGGGTGATCCTCATCCAGGCACATCCCTCTGATCTGTGCCCCTCTCTCTCCAGCCTGCCAGCTGGGATTTTACAAATCAGCCCCTGGGGACCAGCTGTGTGCCAAGTGTCCCCTGCACAGCCACTCGGAGAGCCGGGCAGCTCGCGTGTGCCGCTGTGACAGCAGCTTCTACCGCGCTGTGCAGGACCCCCCCTCAGCTGCCTGCACACGTGAGTACCCCCCGAGTATCCCCTGAGTACCTCCCGAGTACCCCCAAGTACCCCCTCAGTATCCCCTGAGTATCCTTGAGGACCCCCTGAGTACCCTCTGAATACCACTGAGTACTCCCCATTACGTCCTGAGTACCTGAGTACCCCGAGTACCCCCCGAGTACCCCCTGAGTACCTCCTGAATACCACTGAGTACCCCCTGAGTACCCCTGAGTCTCGAGTACCTCCTGTGTACCCCCTGAGTATCCCCTGAGTATCCCCTTAGTACCCCCGAGTACTCCCAAGAAACCTTGAGTGCCTCCTGAGTACACCTGAGTACCCCGAGTATCCCTTGAGTACTCCTTGAGTATCCCGAGTATCTCCTGAGTATCCCCCAAGTATCTTCTTAGTACCCCTGAGTACCCCCAAGAACCCCTGAGTGACTCCTGAGCACACCTGAGTACCCCTGAGTATCCCCTGAGTATCCCCCGAGTATCTCCTGAGTATCCCCTGAGTTTCCTGCCTGCCCTGTGCCCAGCTGTGCTGCCCTGGGGCACGTGTCACATCCTCAGACCCAGCTGCTGCTCCTGGCTGAGCCCAGCGCTGTCCCCTGGCCCCGTGCCCGCTGCTCCCCCGGCCCTACAGCCCCGAGGCTCCGTCTGGCCCGTGAGCTGAGAGCCCCCCTGAGCTGCCCTGCCCCTGTGTGCCCCATCCTGCTGCTCTCCAAACGCCACCAACCAGAGCCAGAGTCATGGGATCATTCAATTGGAAAGGGCTCTGTGTCCATCAAGTCCACCCATCAGCCCAGCACCTCCACCGTGTTCACCACGAAATCTCGCCCTTAAGTGCCACATCCACGCATTTTTTTGAACACTTCCAGGGATGGTAACTCCACCATTTCCCTGGACAGCCTGTTCCAGTGCCTGACCGCCCTTTCTTTGAGGCAATTTTCTCTAGCACCCAATCTAACCCTCTCGTGGCACAGCTTGAGGCCGTTTCCTCTTGTCCTGTCACTTGTTACCTGGGAGAAGTGATGGCTCCCACCCCAGATTTCCTTTCCCAGAGGTGCCCTGGGTGGTCAGACACCCCTGGGGCAGCCTGGGGTCAGCACAAGTGTGGCTCTCCTCCTCGGTGAGTGGACAGTGACACCAGGGTTTGTCACACGGGCTCAGCTCAGCTTTGCAATAGACTGCTTTGAGGGGCTCAGTGCTATTAAAAGGGGACAAGGAGATCCCAGGGAGATGCCCTTGGTCCAGGAGGACAGACAGGGGTGGCATTGCTAGCTGAGGCTGGGGTGAAGGAGCGTTTCCCCAAGGAATATCCACCCAAATTTATTAATCTGCCCAGGAAACATGCGTTCACCTTTCCCTTTAGGTGAGCACATCCAGCTGTGGCTCTCCCCCCATGTTTTATGTTTCAGCATTGTCTCCTGCTCCCTCCAGAGCTCTCTCTTTCTGCCATTGGACATTTTGATCCAGACCTCCAAGGCATTTCACCCTGAGCCCTGCCTGTGTCTTTGTTGTCTCGTGTCCGGCCTCTGCTGCTCTGGGCGGTTCTGTGTCCCCTGCAGCAGTGTTGGTGCACTCAGGTCCTGCTGCCCAAGGTGCATCTCCGTCGGTCCCACACGCCACCATTTCCAACAGTCCAGCATGTCACCCTGAAAACTCAGCTTCTGAGCTTGCTGACATGGTTTTCTAAAGACTTTCCCAGGACAGTAACTGTAAACATAGAGATGTGTACATTCTTTCTGTTACACGTCTTGTGACGGGCATCTCTCATGGCCAGTGCAGTGAGAAAGTGTTATCCTGACCATCCAATCCCTGGCCATGGTCAGAAGCCTATAAATCCTGGGAGGAAAAATAAACTCTCTCTTCCTTTCACCACACCTCGAGCTGTGTCCGTGTGACCTATTCATCTCCAGCTGCTGGGTTCAGCCCCCAATCCCTGCTTCTCTTCCAGGGCCCCCCTCTGCTCCCGTGAACCTGATCTCCAGCGTGAACGGCACCTCGGTGACGCTGGAGTGGGGCCCGCCGCTGGACAAGGGCGGCCGCGCAGACGTCGTGTACAACGTGCGGTGCCGGCGCTGCGCGGGAGCCGCGGGGCCGTGCGAGGCCTGCGGCAGCGGCATCCGCTTCGTGCCCCAGCAGATGAGCCTGGTGCAGGGAGCGCTGACCGTCACCAACCTCCTGGCACACACCAACTACTCCTTCTGGGTGGAGGCCGTCAATGGAGTCTCTGATCTCAGCCTGGAGTCCAGGAGAGCCGCGGTCGCCAACATCACGACAAACCAGGCAGGTAGGAGGAGCAGACCGGCCCTCCAGGCTTGGCCCGTGGGGGTGATGCTGATGTTGCTCCAGCAGTGTCCAGAGCCTGGTTTGGTGATGGGTTTGAAACGGGAGCCTGTCCTCTCTGCTGCTGGAGCTGGGTCAGGGAGCTGGGATGGGCTGGGAACAAGTTGCTGCCCAAGGTAACTCTTACCCTTCTCTGCCTCTGCTTCGTGGTGTGCTTTTCCCTTCTCTGTTCCCTTCACTTGAGCTTGCAGCCACTGTTGGAGGCTCCTTTTCTGCAGGACACAGAGAACACTTGTTATTGACAGGAGCACAAAGTGGAGCATGAATGTTTCAGGCTGATTGTCCAGCCTTTTGTCCCTTCCCAAAGTGTGAGGCAGCAGCTCATGCTCTGCTCTTATCTCCCACCGATGCCAGGCCCTGGCAAGTGACAGCAAGGTTTGCTGGGGAAAGTCTCTCCCATGCATGTCTCACCTTTGCAAATTCCTCACTGCTAAATGATGTTTCCCCAGGAAATTCCTCTGAGCAGTGCTCCAGCCCAGGCAGGACAGGACTTTGCTCTGTGGCACTTTTCCGTGGAGCACACTGCGGGCAGAGAGATCATCTGGGCAGGGTCTGACCCTCCTTGTCAGTCCTCCCAGTTTGAAATGATCCCACAAGAACTTCCCGTGATGCTGAGCCCCTTCTGCTCTCATGGCAGGGGTACCAGTGGGAGAAACTTGGGGAGCCCTGCTGGATAGCTCGTGGCTGGCATGAGAACAGGTCCCTTTGTCACTAATGCCAGCCTGTGAGGAATGGCTCAGTCCTGCTGGCTTGATCCCTCACAATCCCTCCAAGTGCTGATGAGCTTCAGATGGAGATGCTCTCAGGAAATGCTGAATATTCCCATTTCGACCACTCAGCTGCAAAATGGATTCTGAGCAGGTGCTGGGAAGGCAGTGGGGTTGGGAATTTGGTAGTTCAGCTACTCTGCTCCAGCTGCCCTGCCCTCCAGGGAGCTGAGGGACCCCAACACTGCATGGGGGGACCCCGACACTGCATGGGGGGACCACCTGGTGCTGGTCACCCTTGTCCCCCCAGCCCCAATGGCTGAGCATGGCTGAGGCAGATGCAGCACAGATTCCTTGGGCAGTTTGGAGTAAAGGTTTTGCCCATGTTTAACTGATTCCCACCATCCCAACCTGTCCCATCTCCCCAGGGCGCTCTGTACTAGCACGGTTTTCTGCTGCTCAGAGGAGCCAGCCCCAAAGAGCTAAAACTGCTGCCTTTCAGTCCCTGAGTGCCCCACTGCAGCCCCTGGGGCCTCTTTTGGCCTCTGTGCTGCTCTGGTGACACACCTGCACTGCAGCCATGGCTGTGGCAGCTTCCCCAGAGCTGCCACATCCCATTTTTGAAGCTCACAAGTGGGGCCTGAAACCTTCCCATGAGTCAGACCCAGTGGCTGCAGCTGGCCATCACAGCACCCACTACACCCTGGGGAACTTCCAGTGGATATTTTCCCAGCAGGAAAAGAGGACACCCAGGGACAGTTCATGCATGGCTACAGGTACAAGAACTGATTCAGAGGCTCAGCTCAGGACTGGGAAGATGACAAATATCCCAGGGCAGTAGAGAACCCCCTGCTCTAGACTGTGCTCTGACCCTGACCATACTTATCATCTCCCCTTTCCCTCTTCCTCTGCCCCTCTCCCTTTACCCCAGGTAGAATAAGAGGGGACAAAGTGCTGTTAGGGATCTCCATGACCTGCAACCACACTGCTCCTTCTCCTTTCTGGCTCCAGATCACAGCAAATCACCAGTGTCCCCTCCTGCCTGTGCTGGGCCAGTGCCCTTCTCTCTCATCTCCTCAGAGCTGCTTTACTCCATGGCAAAGAGACTGATGCAGCCAAAACCAGGGAAAACCTCTTTGCAATCCCCATCATAGCACTCATCTCCACATGGCTTTATTTAAACCAGAAACCTGGTTAAAGCCAAGGGTCCTGCCTGGGGCTCTGGTTCCACCCTTCCCTGTTGCTGTCTCCTGCTGCCCTACCTCTGCAGGCACCTAACCCGCTGTGTCTGGTCCCCAGCCCCGTCACAGGTGGTGGTGGTGCATCAGGAGAGCACAGGCCAGAACAGTGTCACCCTGCTGTGGCAAGAGCCAGACCAGCCCAACGGCATCATCCTGGAGTACGAGATCAAGTACTACGAGAAGGTAACGCGAGCTCGTTTCTCAGAGAGGCCCCTGCTACCAGCCAGCCTCACTGGCTTCTTCTTCGGAAGTCTTCTTCTCTGGAAGACTTCGTGGTCGCTGTGCTGGTGCAGAGAAGGTTTTGTTGCCGATTTTCCCCAGGATAAGGAAATGCAGAGCTACTCAACTCTGAAATCCAAGAGCACCACTGCCACCATCTCTGGCCTCAAGCCTGCAACCCGCTACATTTTCCAGGTGCGGGCTCGCACCTCTGCCGGCTGCGGGAGGTTCAGTCAGACTGTGGAGGTGGAAACGGGCAAGCCGGGTGAGTGTGTGCAGGTGTGGGGTGTGGGAAGTGTGGGGCAGGGAGCATGGAGCCTGGTGATGCCCTTCTCCATGGCCACTGTTCCTCTGCCACACAGGGAGGGGGCCTGGAGGCACATCCCCTGGCGTTTCACCCTGCAGGGATTGCTCGGGGTTGAATTCCTGATGTGTTTGGAACAATACGAAGCAGACTCAAATAGAAACAGGGTTTAGGTTAGATAATAGGAAATATTAGGCTGTCCAGGACAATGGTAGAGTCACCATGCCTGGAAGTGCTCGATGGATCTGTTGATGTGGCACTTGGGGACATGTTTAAGTGATGGCCCTGGCCATGCTGGGTTGATGGTTGGACTCGGTGATCTCAGAGGTCTTTTCCAACCGTAATGATTCCACGATTCTATGTTTATACATTAGAAAGAGGGAGGAAAGATGCAGCAGTTGGGGCAGGGAAGAGTTGGGGAGGTCCTGAGGCTCCGATCTCCTCCCTGTCCTGGTCTGCTGTGTCACCATGGCTTTCTCAGATCTCTCCTTGGTTTCCCCACGTGTAAATGGTCCCTGCACACTGGGAGAGGCCCAAAACTGGTAGTAGGTGGGACAGCGCTTCATCTCTGAAGACCATGACCCCATTGTCAGCCCAAGGGTTTATCTTTGAAGACCTCAGGGTAGGTACATGGCTGAGCCCAGCAGTGCATTCCCCACTCCAGCTCACCCCCTTCCTACCCTGCTTTTCCCAGTGTCTCTCCGCTACGACACGATGACGATTGTCTGGATCTGCCTGACACTCATCGCTGGCCTTGTCACCTTGCTGGTGGTTCTGATCTGCAAGAAGAGGTAAGGCTTTTCTGGAGGCCAGTGGGGTTTTCTGGAGGTCTCCAACAGGGACGGGAGGGATGGGAAAACTTGGGCACAACTCTTCTCCTTTCAGTTTGCTCAGAGCATAAGTCCAGGATTAATAAGCAGCCAAGAGAATTCATTTAAGGGTCACCACTTTCACTGAGGCAGAGCTGGTCTCCAGATCTCCCCCTCATGCCAGCAGGCTGAATAGTAATAAATCAGTATTTTATAATATATATATTATCTATATATGTAATATATAATACACAGAATATCAGTAGCACAAGCAATAGCAATAGCAGTACCAGAACCACTACCAGTACAAGAGCTGACTGGATGGACTGGTGGGTAGGTCAGGAGAGGAGGGATCTTTTGTACAACAGACAGATCCAAGGGAGATTGTGTGCTCTGTATGAGCGTGGCTGAGCCAAGCACGTGGAGCACACTTGCTTTTAGCACTGCCAAGGCTGGGAGAGCACCTGGAGAGCACTTTGAGCCAGACCAAAGTGTCAGCCCAGTGAGATGCAGGGATGCAGCTGGTGGATGGCCAAGTGTTTCTTCTGGCTGCCCACAGCCCCAGCCTGCACTGCCTTCCACCCTGCTTTTGGAATGTTTGTGGGAGTGAGGAATGGGGGCTTCTCTTCTGACCCTTGTCCTCCCGTGGCAGGCACTGCGGGTACAGCAAGGCTTTCCAGGACTCTGATGAGGAGAAGATGCATTATCAGAATGGGCAAGGTAGGACACTCTCTGGGAAGGACCTCAGGATGGGCAGAGATGGACTGTTCCTCCCTGACACTGCTGTGGTTTCCAGGGGAAGCGTTTTGTATCTTGTCTCCTTCTGGGAACATGTGTTGGGAAACTTGAGTGGGTGGTCTGATTGCAGGGGCATCCTGGTCGTGGGGAAGTTGAACAGCGTGCACTGAGAGTGCAGCAGGATCACCCCAGAGAGCAGCAGGCCAGGGGCAGAGGTGGGGAGTGATGGAGTGGGACAATCACATGGAGAACACCTGGGCAGCCAGAACTGCTCTGAGGATGCTGCTGGGCCAAAGAGTGACTTAGGGCTCCTTGTGCTGCATCTCCATGGCTCCTCAGCCTGTCCTGCCCCTGCTGCTGGGTGTCCCTCCTCCCGGCAGGGCTGCCTGAGAGTGCTGATCTCCTCTATCCACTTTGAAACCCGGCAGTGAAATTCCCTGAGTCCAAGTTCTACGTGGACCCCCACACATACGAGGACCCCTGCCAAGCTGTGCATGAGTTCACCCGTGAAATTGAGGCCTCCCGGATCAAGATCGAGAAGGTCATTGGGTCTGGTGAGTCCTGGAGCCCAGCTGCCTCTTTGCATCAGGGAAATCTGAGGTTGTGCAGTGCCCCTGGCCCGCTGGGATCAGAGCCGTGCTCAGCAGGGCTTCATCTGCTCCTCATCCTTGTGAGATCAAAACCTTGGAGGGACTGGGGGTTTTGGGGGGGTGAAATAAACCCTTTGGAGCAGCCTGGTGCAGGGGGCTGCTCGTCGGCAGGTGTGGCACTGGCGGCTCAGGCTGACACAGCAGATGGCTCAGCCTGTCCCCATGGGTGTCCCAACGTGCACCCATGAAAAACCTGGGCTGACAGGATGCAAATGAAATTGCAGAAAAGCAGAATGGTATGTTTTCAGAACAAAAGGGAATTTTATCATAGGAACAGGGGGCTTCTGGGGAGGCACAGTGCAGAGCTGTAGCTGGGACTTCACCCGCAGCACCCTGAGGGCTTAACCCAGAGGAATGATGAGGGTTATCTTGGCTGCTCTGAGACCCTCAAATTTGTTCATTAAAAGCAGGAAAGCAAGTGCCACTGTAATCACTGCCCTTGGCCCATTGCTTTCAGTGACAGGCACCAGACAGAGGTGGTTTCTGATGTTCCCACCTTTCCTGAACTGGAAGCCAGAGCTGAGCAATCCTTTCAGAGGATTGAATCCTGGAGGGGTTGGAGGGGATCAAAATCCAGACTGAGACCCAGGGGGGCTGGGGCGTGCTGTGAGCATGCTGACAGACTGGAGGATTCCCGGTGTTGGTGGGTGAGCGCAAGAAGCTGAGGAGCTCTCCGTGCCCTCACTGTCCCTTGCCTTGCAGGGGAGTCGGGAGAGGTGTGCTACGGCCGCCTGAAGCTGCCAGGGAAGAGGGAGGTTCCCGTGGCCATCAAAGCGCTGAAGGCAGGCTACACAGAGAAGCAGAGGAGGGACTTCCTGAGTGAGGCCAGCATCATGGCACAGTTTGACCACCCCAACGTCATCCACCTGGAGGGGGTGGTCACCAGGAGTATGTGGCTGGCAGGGGAGGGAGTACTTGGTGGGGCAGAGCTGGGATGCATCTCCCTGTGGGGGTCAGAGCTCACTTTGGGTGCGCTCCATCCTTCACTGCCCCAGTGGCTTTTCAGATTTGTGCATTTACCTGGGACAGCCACCCCCTTGCCTTCTCTTCCAGGACAAACTTCCCCGTGGCAGCTCCACACCACGCTCTGCAGTGTCCTCCAGACCATTTGTTGGTTTGGGAGATGTCCTATTCAAAGGCATTTATTTTAAAAGGCTGCCTGTATTGAATCATAATTTGAAGTCTTCCTCCAAAAAGGCACATTCTGATGCAAAGCCTTACACTAATGGCATGCAAATTTCAGCAGGGTAACAAAACTGACCCAGCCATATCAACAGCACCTGGAGGGAGGGGTACCTGTCTGGGTTGTTGCCACATCCCCATCATTGGGCCAGTCTGAGGGGCTGCAGAAGACCCACAGACCTGAATTCGTGTCTCTCCCAGTAAAAACCTGGCACTGGGCTTCCTGGAGGAAGGTGACTTCTCTGCTAACTTGACCTCCCTTGTCTTCTGCAGGCAAATTGGTAATGATTGTTACTGAATACATGGAGAACGGCTCGCTAGACACCTTCCTCAGGGTAAGGAGCGAGCTGGTGTTTTCATTCACTGCACGTCCCCGGGGGCTGGTTCCTGCTCCTCAGCCTCACTGAAACCCCAGTGCTAGAGAGAGCTGTGGGTGCTGGGCTCTCACCTCTCCAGCAGACACGGGCGCCAGGCATCGTGTCTGGCTCCATGCAGTGACACTGCAAAGGCAGGGACAGCTACCTGAGCATGAGTCAGAGGCACTGAGAGGGCAGGAAGCGGGCAGGGCACAAGCAGGAGGCACTGGGGGTGAGGGGGTACTAAGCCAAAGATGAGAGGTGCTGAGGGTTTGATGACAGGATGGTGGTGAGCACCACGGAACAAACTCTGGGTTATTTCCTTTCCAGAAACACGACGGGCAGTTCACCATCATCCAGCTGGTGGGGATGCTGCGGGGCATTGGGGCGGGCATGAGGTACCTGTCTGACCTGGGCTACGTGCACCGGGACCTGGCTGCCCGCAACATCCTGGTCAACAGCAACCTGGTGTGCAAGGTGTCCGACTTCGGCCTCTCCCGCATCCTGGAGGACGACCCCGACGCTGCGTACACCACCACGGTGGGTGGCTCACAGCGCTGGTGGCTGCTGCCCCAGGCCACTGCTACACGGGAGAGCCAGAGACTCTCAAGTCAAAATTGGTAGGGCAGGAATGGCGGTGTCACCTCCTGCTGATGTCCGGGCCAACAGCTCGAAGCCAAAGAGCTCCTGAGCCCTGATGTGTTGTCCTTCACACGGGGACATCCCAGAACGGAGTGTGCAGTGAACAAAGAGCAGCAGGATGGGAGGGCAGGGAGTTACCAAACATCCCCATTGCTCCCATGGGTGAGTGTGTGGCCTCTGTGTCCCCACTGGAGTCCCTCCCTAGGCTGTGTAGCTCCATCCACTCCTCACTTGTCCTAGAGCCATCAATCTACAGCAGGGTATTCTGGTCCACCCTTCAGCATTGTGGCCACACGCTGGATTTTCCATCTGACTCTGCCTCATTCATGGATGTGGAAAAGGTGAGAATTGGTTCTGCAACCTGTGGTTTTATTTCACGCAGGACACTTTTGTCATGTTGAGATTTTTCTGGCCAACCTGGCCGCTCTGTTTCTTGATGTCCTCCTCCATGGGAGGTCATCAGAAGCAAAATTAAATAGCTTTTCATGAAATACATAGAAAATATTAAATAAATTTCTGGTGCTTTGAGGTATCTTGGTGCAGTAAAATCCACCAGAGCTGGTTGCTCTGGAGGAAGATTGGGTAGTGCATAGAGCTGAACCACAAAGATGCAGTGGCAGAGTCAGGATCTCTGGTGAGCTCTCAGTCAGGGAACCCCGCAAATCAGGTTTCTTTTGTGTTCAAAAACTTGAGCTCCTCCTGTGTTGTCTTCAACATGCTCAGGAGATTGCTTCCCCCAAGGAACTCTCCCAAAAGACTCATTGTCCATCTTCAGTCCTTATCAAGGCACGTGCCAGAGTGGGCAGGACCCTGCTGGGTAGAGGTAACTCTCCCTATACAGGTATCCCTGAATGGTGATGGCACACCATTCCTGCCCCAGATGCTCTGGGAAGCCCACCCGATGTCCCCTAGACTGCAACTTTCCTCTTAAGATGGCTGGCAACCACATTTCCAGCTTAAAAACATTCTTAGTCCACACATTGCTGATTTTTGTCAGCATGGTCCTTTAATTGAATGCATCTGCTTTTTCAGTCCTTGCCTGTCAAAGCAGGGAAGGACAGGGAGCACATCCCATCACTCTCCCTGTCTGCTCATGTCAGGCTCTCCGCTTGCACACAGAGTCAGCTCTGTGCTTGTGTGCTCTGGTAGCCCAGGGCTCCCCTTCATCACTCTGAATTCCTTCTCTCTTGAGCTGGGGGACCAAATTGTGCATGAAGACCTTGTAAAAGAGCACAGTGTTCTCCCTGCTCTGCTGGAAACACCTTGAAGTCGTCCTTCACGTACACCTCCGGGCTTGTCTTGTGCAGATTACCTCCTCAGTCCTTTTTAGAAGATGCCACCCCAGTTTATCACTTGTCCAGCAGCTGTCCCAGAGCTCGAGGTGCTGAGCCCTGCCTGCTCTGAGCCTCCACTCTCACTCACTTTTCCAGGGGGGGAAGATCCCGATCCGCTGGACGGCCCCCGAGGCTATCGCGTACCGCAAGTTCTCCTCGGCCAGCGACGTGTGGAGCTATGGAATAGTCATGTGGGAGGTGCTGGCCTACGGCGAGCGGCCCTACTGGAACATGACCAACCGCGATGTGAGTGCTGCCAAACCTCCTCCTGCCCTCCCCAGGCCAGCCTGGCAGGGCAACAGGGGCCCAAGGATCAGCTCCTGCCCCTCCTCACATCCCCACAGGGCTGTGCACAGGGTGTGCGTCCCCTCTGCGGCGACAGCAGCACATCCCTACCCTGCTCAGCCTTTGCCTTTGCAGTCCTGTGGCTCCCAGGAGTGACCAGAGCTCATATCTAGATCATATATCATATATATATCATATATCATGTATCATGTATCATATATCATGTATCCTATATCATATATCATGTATCCTATATTATATATATATCATATATCATGTATCATATATCATGTATCATGTATCATATATCATGTATCACATATCATATATCATATATAATATATCACATATCCTATATCATATATCATGTATCATGTATCATATATCATATCATGTGTCATGTATCATATATAATATATCATGTATCATATATAATATATCACGTATCATATATCATATATCATGTATCATGTATCATATATCACGTATCCTATATCATATATCATGTACCATGTATCATATATCATATCATGTGTCATGTATCATATATATCATGTATCATATATAATATATCACGTATCATATATCATATATCATGTATCATATATCATGCATCACATATCATGTATCCTATATCATATATCATGTATTATATATCATATATCCTATATCATATATCATATATCATATATTGACCTACCTGTCCCGCTCCTGGGGACTCTGACCTAAGTTCCCTGTGCAAATGCAGGCAGGGAGTCACTGCCACGCTGGCTGTGTGCACAGTGGCTGTCCCCAGTGCTGCCTTTTCTGCTGCCTGGAGAGATTCAGCACGTGTTGTGCCGTATTTCCCAGCCCCTGGGATCCCCTGGGATCTCTGCAGCCCCACTGCACCAGCCTGGTGCAATGCTGGGCGTCCATCCCTTCCACTGCCCAGTGCTGCTGAGAGCCTCAGGCCAGCACCACCCAGCTGTAGGCTTTGGGCTCGTCTGGGTTGTGTGGAGCCACTCTCACCTCAAGAATAGCATAAAATCTGAAGGGAAAAATAGATTATAATCCTGACCCCAACCTGAGGGCAAAACTTCCAAAAGGAGGGTGTAAAATGAGTATTTTGGCTCTGCAGGACCACAGGCCTCCTTTCTTTACCTATGAGTATTATGAATCTCCCCCTGTGCTGGGAGTCCTTCTAGGTTTTTTTTCGTTTTGTGGTGGTTTTGATGACAGCAGGGTATGAATGCAGTGGCTTACATTACCTCCTCCACACAATTCCTTCAAGCAGCGTTTCCTCCAGCCTGGCCAGTGCCACTCCCTGGCTGTAGAGAAGCTGAGCCTGAGTGCAGCCCTCGTGGCTTGTCTGCTGGAGGGGAGCTGCAATATTTTAGGCCACTGGGCCACTAAAAATCCTGATTTCCTGTATGTGTGCGATGTCCAGCCCGCAGCCCTTCACTCGTTTAGCACAAAGCTCGTGCACAGCCCCCTGCTCCCCATCCCATGGCCCCGGCAGCTCTCACGGGGTGGGGGCACAGCTCCAGGGTGGCTTGTGGCTTCCTCGCAGGTGATTAACTCTGTGGAGGAAGGTTACCGCCTGCCTGCCCCCATGGGCTGCCCCACCACCCTGCACCAGCTCATGCTGGACTGCTGGCAGAAGGAGCGCAGCGAGAGGCCCCGCTTCTCCCAGATCGTCGGCATCCTGGACAAGCTGATCCGCAACCCCGACAACCTCAAGTGCACGGGCACCATCAACAGGTGAGGGTCAACTCCAACCCCTGTGTGAGCAAGGGCTGGTGACTTGATGCTGGTCAGAGCGTGTGGGTGGCAGGAATAAGGTGTTGGGGTCAGAGGTATGGGATATGTGCCCTTATCTGTGGTGCCTGGCTCTGGCACCCAAAAGAGCTCTGAGTTTCACAAAACACCATGGAGACAGCTTGTCGCTAAAGGACACAGAATGATTCACACTAACACGTCTCAGTGGGATGACAGGAAAAGAAGAACTTTATTTTTCTGACTCCAGTATTTATAGATTCTTGACAATGACCAGGGATTGGAGAATTAAGTTACTACCTTCCCAATCACACTGGTCATGCAAAACGTCCATCAAAAGATGTTTCTGAGAAGGAATGTGATAAACATTTATGTTTATAGTTACTTTCCTGGGAAAGTGGCTATAACTATGAAAACAAGTTCAGAAGGTTTAGTTTTCATGGCAACAACAGCTGTTAAAGTTGAGAAACTGGGAATGTGAGTGTGTAGATTTTTTTTAAGTCACTGGGTGAAAAAGTTAAGAGTTTAGGGTTTAAGCTATTTTAGAAAATAAGAGACAACATGGAGGATTTAGGGTGTTGTCCCTTTCTCCTTTTTCCTTCTTCATTTTCTTCTTCTAAGGGTTTTTGGGCAATAATGAGTGATTGGATAAAGAAATCTGCAGTGCAGCACACAGGTCATTGGGTCACTAAAATAAATAACTTACTTGTCATTTGATTATTGGACAAATAGCCATATAAAGGACCTTGAAGAAGTTCTTTGTTTGCCATTTTGCACCTCTCTATCTTAGTGTGTGTAGCTCCCTGTACTCTGTATATATGTAATATGGATAAGGAAAGAATAAACAAGAGAAAACAGCCTCTCTCTCTCTCTCGTCAGCCTCAGTCCTGGGGAAAAGACATGACAAGACAAAAGTGGAGGGGCTGGAATGTGTCCAGAGGAGGGAACAGAGCTGGGGAAAGGTCTGGGGCACCCTGGCTCCAGACTGAGGGAGCTGGGAGGGGCTCAGCCTGGAGAAAAGGAGGCTCAGGGGGCCCTTCTGGCTCTCCACAACTCCCTGACAGGAAGGTGCAGCCAGGCAGCAGTTGGCTTCTGGTCCCAGAAGAGAAAATCACCTCAAGTTGTGCCACAGGAGGTTTAGGTTTGATATTAGAGAAATTTCTTCATGAAAAGGGTGGACAGGCCCTGGCACAGGCTGCCCAGGGCAGTGGTGAAGTCACCATCCCTGGAGCTGTGGATGAGGCACTTGGGGACACCTGATGATCTTAGAGGGCTTTTCCAACCTTAATGCTCTCCTGATTCTATAGGAGCATTCACGTGGCCCTCACAGCCTGGACCAACCTTTCTCCTCTAACCCCTTGTGTTCTGCTCCCAGGTTCACCCAGACACGCTTGGACAGGGGTCTCCTCGACCTGACCAGCTGCTTGACTGTGGAGGACTGGCTGGACTCCATCCGGCTGGGGCATTACCGGGACAACTTTGCCATGGCTGGCTACTCCTCCCTGGGCATGGTGATGCGCATGAACATCGAGTGAGTAGCAGAAAAATTAGCAGCAAAAAAAGAGTAGCAAAAAATTGCCATAGTTTATGCTGCTTCATGCCCATGGAATAAACAAAATTGAGAAGCTTTCTCTTAAGAGAAATTAAAATTTTTCCATCAAGTGGCAGTGCAGTTGTAGGAGTAAATGTAACTAGAAATAGGTTCCTTTGAGATGGAGCTTGGGCACCGCGTAAAACGTTTTTACCTGTCAGGCACTTGGTCTTTATATGAAATGTTGGATTTCATAATAGATATATAAAGTGTACATACCTGTACTTACAAGCCTATTTGTACATCTCTTCTAAAATTGAAACATTAGATGTGCTGTCAAAATGCCACAGCTCTTGGCTAACGTTTTATTATAAATACTAGTGCAGGTACCAGCCCCAAACAGTGACTGTCCTGCCTCAGCTGGCTCGTTCTAGTTGGCCCCTGGTGCCAGAGACATCTCTAGGAAAAGGGTGTTGGGACCTGGGACGATGTCCAAGGCTGTGCTGAGCTTTGAGGGGAGGTGTGGGAGTTGTACTGAGAGGCTGTGAGCTCCAAGTCACCTCTGTGGTGGCTCTCCAATGTCACCATAGGCCCACAGGAGGTAATTCAGGTTGCAAGGTGCTCCAGGAGGTCACCTAACCCGAGCACGGGCAGGCAGGAGCTTGCTGTCTCCTTGTGCTCCTCATCTTTTTTTTCCCATGCAAAAGGCATCTCTGGGCTGGAGTGTGGCCGTGCTATTCTGCACAGCTTCTCTAGGATCACAGAAACAATCACAGCTGGGCATTCCCTTGGAGTTTTGTCAGACCCCCGTGCACAGTGCCCCTGCTCAGGGCAGCCAGGAGGGAGACATCACTGGAAGGTCATTAACACATGACCAAGGGTGGGTTAAGTAAGGAGAGCTGGAGAAGATCTGTCTCTGGAACTTGATCTCCCACCTGTCTAGGGAGTTTCCAAGGTGGAGGATCCAAGCAGTAGCAGAAAAGAAGGCAACTGTGCCAGCTCCTGCCCTTATACCTGCTTATATCCCTCATCCCTTGCTGTTACCAGTAGTGACAGGGCTGGCACTGCTCAGCCTCTAAGGAGCCTTGATCCCTGTCCAAATCCTGTCCCTTGATCCCTGGAGCTGCTGGACGTGGTTCCTGGGCAGGGAAAGGGAAGGCAGAGAGACAGAGACAAGAGTTGTCATGTGCATTGATCGGGGCTGTGCATGGGGCCTTTGCTCTGGGATTGAGCTGATAGTGATCCTTGTTTCTCATGCACATCAGAGAATCTCTTGAATGGGGAAGGCTCATCATCCATCCGTCTTTCTGACTGGGTTATCTGAGGGCATCTCACTAAAACTGAATCCAATTTCACAGCATCGATTTTGTCACCTACCAGCCTGTCAGGAGAGCTCCTGCTCCCCAAAGGGCTGTCACAGTGGCCTTGTCAGGACATGCCTAAGGGAATGGCAGCGTCTCTGTCCCTGGGAGGACGCCCATGGGCCCTCAGCCTTGTGCTGATGGGCAAGTGGAGAAGAGCCAGGTTCCTGGGCTGGCCCATGGGGTGCAGTTGTCTCCCTGGGGTCTGGCACGAGTGTCTTTGACAATATCTTTGTTCTCCAGGGATGTTCGGAGTCTGGGCATCACCATGATGGGCCACCAGAAGAAGATCCTGAGCAGCATCCAGGCCATGAGATCCCAGCTGCTGAACACAAATGGCCCCAGGAGACATCTCTGATCACCAGCTCTGCAGAGCTGCACCAGGCATTCCTTAACACTTACCCTGGCAAAGGGGCAGCAGGGTGGTGAGCAGGAACAGGGGCACCAGGAGCTGGAGCCCTGCCAGCACCTCTGGGATTTCAGCATCGGTGCAAGCGTGGTATTCCAGATACCTTGGTGGTCCTGGTGCCTCCTTCCCCCTCCCTGAAGGGGAGAGCAGCCTTCCAAGCAGACACATCATGACTCTGCTGTTTCCCTGTGGGACTGGGGGTCTCCCCACAACTATGCAGGTCAGGAGACAACCCCTTCACCCCGTGGGATGGTCCAGCTTCTCCTGCAGGTGGAGGGGTGTCAGACACATCAGCAATAACCAGGAGCAGCGTGCTGGGCTCCCCGTGGCACCAGGGAGCTCCTTGGATCTCTGAACTGAGCAGGGCTCCACACACTACACTCAGCAGAGACAGCCCTGCTGCCTGGACCTCCCACACGCTCCAGCCTGGACCTCCTGAGCTGCACCAGCCTGACGGTGACTTCATGGTCCACCTCTACCAAGAGCAGCAGGGCAGGGGACAGACTACAAGGTGGCAGTGCCGGGAACAGCTGGCTCTGCCTTCACACCATGCTTCCCAGCTTGGAGGAGAGCTGTCCAGGGCCTTCTGCTGGGGATTCAAGAATCCCTGGAGTGCTGCAGGACACTCTCCACCTCTTTAACCCACCACCTCCTCCATGGATCCAGCACAGCCCCCCAGACAGCCCAGATGTACTTTCTAGGGTCACAAGCTCACGTTTCTCTGCCAGCAGAATCGTCCTGGCCTTCCCCAGAACAGGGAGGAATGGGAAAGAGTGAATGATGGAGGGACAGAGAAACAACTCTTTGTTCTTCTGTTGCCCTAGAGAAACCCGAGAGCTGTGCCATCAGCGGGCTGCCAGCGCCCAGGGCTGCTGGATCACCTGCAGAGAAAGGGTCCTGGCAGTATTTCCAGCTGCAATCACAGCGTCCTGCGGCTGGGGCAGGGGCTCTGGGCACAGAGAATCTCACTGCTGGTGACCCCAGTGTCTGGGAGAGTGGTCAGGAGCTTGGGTGAGCTTGCCTGGTGCTGAGCAGTGGCCCCCAAAGATGTGTGGAGCTGGTCTGAGAGGCTGAACTGGGTGCAGAGGTGCAGGTGAACTGGGGAGCGGGGCAGGCTGTGGGCTGGGCGTTTCCTTTTGGTGTAAATACAGTTTTCTATGGGTTTGGGGACTGTTTTACTGAAGTAGGATGTTAAGTACACAAAATGGTCTCAAAGCACAGAAGCCTCAGTCGTGGGGCTGAACTCACTGCAAAAAAAACAAAAAGGTCTGCTGGGAGCATGGCTGGGGTGGGGGGTGACAGGAGGGGAGAGGGGCTGGAGGGAGCCACACTCCCTGCCCGGTCCAGCCTGGCCACAGCAGCCTCGTCACGGGCACAGCAAACCCAGCATCACTCCAGTGCAGGTGCTGGTGGGATGTGGCCTGAGGGCTGCTCCTGCCAGGCCTGTTTGGGCACAAGGTGGGGTGGGGGGCGGGTTAAAGCCATTTCTCAGCTGCAATAATCCTGGCTAAACCAGCCTGTCCAGGGCTGGCTTGGCTTTCCACGCAGGGCACCTGTGTCCTGATGGATTCTCTGACTATGGCGGGCACTTTACTTCTTCCTATGGAAGCTCTTTGTAAAGGGGGACAGATGCAATGTGTTGTTCCATTTGTATTGCACCCTGTGTCCTGCACTCAGCCCTGGCACACTCCCTCCCCACAGCCAGCGTGTGATGGAGCTCAGCCCAGCCCTGCAGCACAGGGGGCTGGGTGCTGGCCCTGTCCTCTCTTCCCAACATTTGGGACTCGGTCACGGACGCGCTGGTGAGAGCAGAGGTCAGACCAGTGCCACACCTGCGTCCTTGGGGTTTGCTGGGCAGCCCCAGCCAGGTGGGCTGCAGGATCTGAGGCTGGGAGCTGCCAGATGGCCCCTTTCCAGGTGGTTCACGAGTCAGATCCTGCAGCGTGGGGTCACTGGGCTGCTCCTGGCTGTGGGGATGGTGGGGCAGGGTTTGCCTTTTATGTTCAGAGTGTGCACTTCCTCCTGGGCAATAAAAAAATCCCTCTTTCCGTGATCCAGCTCCTTGCCTGTTATTGTCAGTGGGCTGCACAGAGCTGCCACCACTTGCAGTGAGGATGGGGGACACCCCAGCTGCTTCAGGGGACCAGCAGTGGGGTGCTCAGCTCATCATCCCCTCCCTTGCTCCAGAAAGCCTCCCACCAGTGAAGGATGCTTCCCTGCAAAGCAGGAGTGTCTGTGGGGACAGGGAAGAGCCAAGAGGATGTTTGTAGGCTCCTGGGGGAGCCCCAAAACCACCAAATCTTTGCTATGCAGAGTGGATATCTCACGTGCAAGGGCTCCTCTGAACCTCAGGGGTGTCTTGAAGGTTTTCCTAGACTCAGCCTTACCTCCTTCTGCAAATGCAGAATTATTTTTTAGAAAGAAGAAAAATTAACACCAAAAAACCAAACCAGGAACACCTCAGTTCCTCATCTGAAGTCTGAGATGAAATATGTTATAGGTGGGCTTGCAAAACTCTCCCTGCACGTGTTCACTGCCCTTCAGTGAAGGATTTACCAGAAAATGAGTTGCAGGAAAAAGAAAGCACCATTTTCGGGAAATGCCCTAAAAAATGCCCAAAAGGGCCCCACAGCACAGGGTGGGGTCTGCCCTAAACCTGTCCCTGCCTGCTCACACACTCCCAGCCTTTGCCATGCTCCAAGGACAGAGCTGATGGTTCACTGGCCCCAGCCCTGCTCCCATCCCAGAGGTGAGGAAAGGCCATCCTGGCTGCCCAGGGCTCTGTCCTAGCCCAGCCTGCAGCTGTCAGCTCATCCTGCCAGCCCAGCCAGAGCTCCCTTGCTCATGGTCCCAGCGCTCTCCCCGGTGCCCCTTTAGGGAGCATTGGCCCCCAGGCTGGACAAGCTGCTCCTGGTCAGTGTCCCCTGTGCTGAGGGCTGTGCATTCCCCTCCACCTGCCCCAATTCTGTATTTACATTCCCCATCAATATAACCCTGACTCTCCCAGACCCTTCTCCTTTACCCAGAGAAGTCCTGGACTCCCCATCCCTGGCAGTGCCCAAGGTCTGGTTGGACAGGGCTTGGAGCAGCCTGGGATAGTGGAAGGTGTCCCTGCCCATGGCAGGAGGACTTAAGATGGGCTTTAAGGTCCCTTCCCAAACCATCCTGTGATAAATATGGTTAGAAGGAATCTCTGAAGGTCACCTCCCAGTGCACACACCTGTGCAGGTTCTGCCCAGCCCCTCATCACACCCTGCAGGCGAGGGCAGCAGCTCCATCACACCTTGCTCGTGGTCACTGTGCACAGTGGGACAGCCTGGGCACGCTGGCACCTGTCACTGGGCACTGAGCACAGACATTGCACTGCTGGATTTCACTTACTAACAAAGCCAGCGGCCACATTGTCTTCTTACATTTCTAAGACCAAACATTTGGAAGGATGGATGATGCTGGCATCACCCAGGCTCCTTCCCCAGGCAGGGGCACTCAGCCTGTGAGCATCACGCCCAAGGCACCACCCTGCTCACAGCCTCAGGAAGATGAGGCATAGTTGTGTTTTTTTTAAAGAAATTGAAGTCCTGGCAAAGGTCCATCTCTGGGGATGCTTCTCCAGGACACAGAGCTGTGTTTTCAGAGCTCCTGCACTCCCATCTGGCCAGGCTGGGGCCAGGGCTGGCACCCAGGGATCCAGATGGCTCGGAGAAACTGGCTCAGCAGGAAACCCCTTGGGAAGAGGATCCTGGGGAAGGGGCTGGTCAAGAGGAAAAGTCTTCCATGCAAGGAGAGGGGATGGACACCCTGGTTCATCTATGCCAGCAAATAAACCCCTTCCTGCACCAAAAGAACCCTCAGGATTTTCACACACAGTTAAATGTCCCCCAAGAGGATTTTACCCCATCTTGCACCACTGGGAGCTGTTTTTTCCCTGATTTTCTTTTCTCCTCACACCCAGCATCACCCCAGGCCTCCAGTACCTCATCTGGGAAGCATTTCCTTTGAGCTGCCCGGCCGGATTTTGGCTGTGTCATTGGTTGGTGAGGCTCTGTGAGCTCTGTGTGCCTGGAGGTGGCAGTCTGGACCTGCAGAGCCCTGCCTGGAGCCGCCTCGGCTCTCCCCCAGCCCTGCGCAGGTTTGCAGGGGTCAGAAGCATTCCAGCGAACAGATGGTGAACTCGGCTTCGGATTTCCTGATATGATTCCTGTCTGATCACATACCAGCTTAGTCTGCCAAGGAAGGCTGTATTCCCAAACCACCTCCTCTCCTTGCTTTTAGCGCAGTCGTTTAGCATCGTGTCCAAGTAAATTACTCAGGATAATCTGATGTAAGATAGAAATATCAGCCCCAGCTGCTGCTTTAACTCTTGGAAGGATTATGGGTTAAGTTCTGCATGGGTTTTGAGGCGTCCCACAGGTCGTGTCTTGCAAACCACCATCAAGGATTGCGATAACAGCGTAGCTCATCCCAGGACGACAGAAGCGCCTGCTGTGCCACCAACCAGCCCAAAATCTCCCCGCCTCAAGCCAGCCAGGCTTGGGGAGGGATGAGCCAGGGGAGAGATGCTTTAGCTGCAGGGCTGGGAATATGGGCAGGGCTCAGAGCAGAGAGGCAGGGCTCAAATTAGGAGGGCTCCCTCTCTGTGACAGGAAAATGAGGAAGGCAATGGCACTTCATCCCCTGCCTGCCAGGGGGATTCTCTCTCTCTTTTGGGTGTAAACCTGCACTGAGCAGCCTGGCTGAACCCCCAGTCACACGAGGTACACCCCACCATCCGTGGGATGCGCCTGAAGCTTCCCACTCCGAGGGGAGTGACATGGGACAGCCCAACAGCCCAGCTCCTCAGGGACCTGTGTGGCACGAGAGGCTTCAGGATCCTCATCTCTGCACCCTCAGCAACCTCTTCTGAACAGGCAGTCAAAACAACAAAGCCTCTTCAGCCTCCTGGGTGAAAA